TGGGTTGGATCATCGGTATGGTCTTGAATGCACACCGTTAAACAGTCCTATACTAGGGTAAAACTGCTGTCCTGGTTTTTAGTGGTTGACTATGTGCTTCAGTTTCACAATATCAGTATTCTAAAGATTTGATTTTACGTTTATTCACACGATTATAGGGAGTTGAAGCAAGTGCTTATAAACTAAACAAGTTTCACGTCCAAATAATTTTGATCGGTGAATACTTTATACTGTTGTCCTTAAAGCCTTACGCCTTAATATTGGCTTTGCCTACCTGGTGGTTAAACCTATTCCACATAGCGTTTATAAAATTCTGATGGTTATTTGCCTGTAGTTATATTCATGTTGAATTCCACTGACCATATTTCATTTGTGTAGTCATTAACTACTGGGCAGGTTGATAAGTACAGACTACCTGATTGGAATCCGTCTGATTATCGTGATCAAATCACTGAAGGCATTGGATGACATGGCTCAGAATCAGTCGTAATGGTGCAGATACGTTCAGATTTTGTTTTGCCTTGGATCATGAGTTTCAAAGTTGTTACATACTCTTGGTTCCGTGAATTCACTCTTGAATCATATTACCTAAAGCTAATTTCTTCTGTTATCACTGGTACGGCTACTACCTCTATTATGGTATTTTTCTTAAGATTTTCATCTCTGTGCTAATATGATGTGCCAGCTTCTATGTTACATGTGACTGATTAACTGACTGAGTTGTGATGTAGAATATTAATCACTTCTAAATACTAATGTGTCTTATTATTCATCCAATGTTCTTATGATCAATTGCATTTTTGGTTAGTTTAACAATCTGTTGATATGAAGTGAATATTAGAGAAACTGAAGCTACTCTTACTTACTTACTTACGCCTGTTACTCCTCGTGAAGGAGCATAGGCCGCTCACCAGCATTCTCCATCCAACCCTGTCCTGGGCAATCCTTTCAAGCTCTTTCCAGTTCTTATTCATCTTTTTCATATCTGCTTCTATTTCCCGACGTAATGTGTTCTTTGGCCTTCCTCTTTTCCGCTTCCCTTCAGGATTCCAAGTTAGCGCTTGTCTCGTAATGCAGTTTGATAATTTGCGTAATGTATGTCCTATCCATTTCCATCGTCTTTTCCTCTTCAGCTGGAAGCTGGTTGGTTCTCTCCCACAATTAGCTGTTGCTGATGGTATCCGGCCAATGGATGTTGAGTATCATGCGTAGACAGCTATTAATAAATACCTGTACCTTCTTGATGGTGGTTGTTGTAGTTCTCCAAGTTTCAGCTCCGTACAGTAGAACTGCCTTGACGTTCGTATTGAAGATTCTGACTTTGATATTGGTTGAAAGTTGTTTTGAGTTCCATATGTTCTTCAGTTGAAGGAATGCCGCTCTAGCTTTGCCAATCCTCGCCTTGACGTCTGCATCTGAACCTCCTTGTTTATCGACGATGCTTCCCAGGTATGTGGAGGATTCCACGTCTTCCAGAGTTTCGCCATCAAGAGTGATTGGATTGCTGTCCTCCGTGTTGTGTTTGAGGACCTTGGTTTTCCCTTTGTGTATGTTGAGGCCTACTGATGCAGAGACTGCTGCTATGCTGGCTGTCTTTATCTGCATTTGTTCGTGTGTATGTGATAGGAGGGCTAGGTCATCTGCGAAGTCCAAGTCGTCTAATTGGTTCTGAGCTGTCCATCGTACGCCGTAGTTTCCCTCAGATGTCGAGGTCTTCATAATCCAGTCGACCACCAGAAGAAACAGGAAGGGAGAGAGTAGACAGCCTTGTCTTACTCCGGTCCTTACTTGGAATGCGTCTGTCAGCTGTCCTCCATGCACTACTTTGCACTGTAGTCCGTCGTATGAGTTCCGGATAATGTTGACAATCTTCTCAGGAACTCCGTAGTGTCGAAGAAGTTTCCATAACGTCCTCCTATCTACACTGTCAAATGCCTTCTCATAATCAATGAAGTTGATGTAGAGTGACGAGTTCCACTCAATTGATTGTTCGACGATGATCCGTAGTGTCGCAATCTGGTCTGTGCACGACCGGTCCTTACGGAATCCAACTTGTTGATCTCGAAGTTGAGCGTCTACTGCTTCTTTCATCCTGTTCAGTAACACTCTGTTGAAGACTTTACCCGGTATCGACAGTAGTGTAATGCCTCTGTAGTTTTCACACTTGCTCAGATCTCCTTTCTTTGAAATCTTGATGAGGTGTCCTTCTTTCCAATCCATCGGCACTTGTTCCTCCTCCCAAATCTTCTTGAATAGAAGATGAAGCATGCTTGTAGTTACTTCGATGTCTGACTTCAACGCTTCAGCTGGTATATTGTCAGGTCCTGCTGCTTTCCCGCTTTTGATTTGTCTGACGGCCATTCTGATTTCTTCTGTCGTTGGTGGATTGACATTTATAGGAAGATCTGTATGTGCTGCTTCGATGTCCGGTGGATTCATTGGAGCCGGCCTATTCAGGAGTTCCTCGAAGTACTCTGCCCATCTGTTGCGCTGTTGTTGAATCTCAGTGATTGGTCTTCCTTCCTTGTCTTTGACTGGTCTCTCTGGTTTACTGTATTTCCCTGCAAGCTTCTTCGTCGTATCGTAAAGCTGTCTCATATTTCCTTCTCTTGCAGCTTTTTCCGCCGTCGTTGCTAGTTCTTCCACGTATTTTTGCTTATCAGCTCTAATGCTCTTCTTCACTTTCTTGTTTGCTTCTATGTACTCTGCTTGTGCTTGGACTTTCTCTGCTCTTGTTCGACTGTTTTTAATTGCTATCTTCTTGTTCTTTCTTTCTTTGATCCTGTCCAGTGTTTCTATAGAGATCCATTCCTTGTGATGATGTTTCTTGGGGCCCAGAACCTCTTGACACGTTGAAGTTAATGCTTCTTTGATACCTTTCCAGCTATCCTCCATAGTAGTTTCTTCTTCCTTCAGTAGATCCTGTAAGGCTTGGAACCTGTTGTTGAGAGCTACCTTGAATTCATTGAGTTTGTCAGTATCTCGAAGGAAGGCTGTATTGAACCTTTGTGGTGCTGTTTGTCCAGTTCTTCTTTAGCTTCAGTTTCAATTCGGCCACAACCAGGTGATGATCTGAAGCTATGTCCGCTCCTCTCCTGGTTTTCACATCTTCCATTGTCCTTCTGAACTTTTTATTGATGCAAATGTGATCTATCTGGTTCTCTGTGGTGTGGTCCGGTGAGATCCACGTAGCTTTGTGTATACGTTTGTGTGGAAATATTGTACCGCCTATGACCAATTTATTGAATGCACACAGATTTGCAAATCTTTCCCCGTTTTCGTTTCTCTCTCCCAGTCCATGTAGTTTCATGATGTCTTCATATCCGGTGTTGTCCATTCCGACTTTGGCGTTTAGATCTCCCATCAGAATGGTGAGGTCCTTTCTTGGGCACTTCTCTATGATTGATTGCAGTCTCTCATAGAATTGATCTTTAATGTCGTCGTTGCTATGATTGGTGGGTGCATAACATTGAATAATGTTCATTGTGATCCCCTCCTTTGTTTTGAATGATGCTTTGGTGATTCTGGATCCGTGAGATTCCCATCCTACAAGTGCATTTCATGCTACTTTGGATAGCATTAGAGCAACTCCCTGAGTGTGTGGAGCATTTTCCTCTTTGTGACCGGAGTATAGCAGCATCTGTCCCGTATTTAGCCTTTGTTTTTTAGCTTGGGTCCAATGGGTTACGTTGATTCCCAGTACTGCCAAGTTGTATCTCCTCATTTCCGTTGCTATTTGACTGGTCTTCCCATTCTCCCACATTGTCCGGACGTTCCATGTACCTATAAAAATTGTTGCTCTGGTTGTTAGAAGAGGCATCGGCCTCGTGGCTTCCGAAGGAACTCGGCTTTCACCATGAAGCGTCATATTACCTCTAACTCCCAGGGCAGAGTTTAAATGGTTTGAGTTATTTTTTCTGGTTAGCGTTTTTTTAGCGAGTTAGGTTTCTACGGGATGGGGACGCTAACCCCATGCCCAACCCTCCTCCTTTACCCGGGCTTGGGACCGGCAGTTACTCTGGAAGAGCTACTCTACAGACTTATTATTTCTATTCTTGCTGTATAATTAATAGATAATTGGATTATTGTATTTCTATTCTTGGTTTTGTAAATTTCTGTTAGACCCACCAACTATTGTTATACTGTCTACTACTTATTAATTATTACTGATTAGTTCTGTACCGTTGTCTTCCATTTATATGACATCATCATGTGCAAAGTATTTCTTAATTGCAGTGCATTGCTGTCTAACGATCAATGCATATGACCTAATGAGTGTTAGAGATAAATATGCTTGGTTCCCTCAATATAGTAATAGGAGCTCGCCGGATTTGTTCTCCTCTTTTAACTAGAGACTAATGGTAGAAGGTATGCGTACCGGTGGATCAGTAAGAGCTAAAATTATATTGGCTCTTGCTCAAGGTTAATTTCGATAGTTGTAGTATATCAGAGCGTAGGACACTAGGCTATAGACGAAATAGTACACGTGGGGTAGATAAATTATAGCGAGGATTCTAAATGACAGATTTTCTAGATGTCGATTGACATTCTCATTCATAACAGTTATATCGATTGCAGTGTTAGATAAAGCAATTTAGATTTTACACGATTTGGACACATGTAGGTTAGTAAGCTTTCATACGAACAGTTTCTAATCATTCATTAATGCCTAATAATAAGATGGTATCTATTTTATCATTAAATGTTTCCCCTTTGATATGTTACGAAGATTTTGTGCTTTGCGTTTCACTTTTTCATATAATAAATACTAGTAAACTAATTATATTTTGAATGATTCATGGGTTTTCCAAATTTTTTGTTGTTACATGTATCAGCTGATTGTTCATTCCATAAACGTATGATTTTGTTTGATCGAAGTATAATAATTGTTATATTTTGTGAATCCTTTATTAGTTTTACACTCTCATTTGTATTTTGACTCTTTTTAATGTAATAATAAATCAACTACCTAGTTCACACTGTGTGATCTGTAAGGAAGTCAGCTGACTACTTTTTTTTCTTAAATAGTTGATAGTATTGTTTTATTTGTGTATGTCTATATCCCTGGTAGCTTAGACTGTTTACTTGATGTGTACTGTCTTATCATTTGTTTGATGATATAAATTTTACATCTAAATTATTCAAAAAAAAAATTAACTTATTCAATACAATCTGGGCAGTTAATAGATACATTTAGAAATAGTTACTTATAGTCAGTTGTTTCATACGTCGGGTGTGACAGAAGTAATTTAGAAGAAATTTAAGGGCCTCGAAATAAAAAGATGTTATCAGTCCATTAACTCATTGACTGTTAGTTTGAGTCGTGATTTTGATCTGAAGAATCTGTAATGGCAAGGAAATATATCAATAACTAGTTTTTTTTTTTTTTCAGAAAACCAACTAATGTTTTTCATGAAGTAGGCTTTCGTAATTTATATTTATAAACTGATGTAGGTTCATCCATAGTTTAACTACTGACTTCTTTTCCTCCATAGAAATAGTAGCATATTCATGGAAAGCAGTTTCTGAAACTATTTTTGTAGTTTGATATTGTTGAAGGAACCCAATACATGCAGTTATGATGTATCGAAAACAACTAAATCACATAGAACAGGATTTTGTCGAATAACTATTTTGATTCTCCCGTTATCGTACTGTAAGTATCAAATGTAAAAGATACCTGGTAAATAATAGTTTTATATTTCTTTAGATTTCATAATGTTTAACTTAGATGAGAAAAATTAACCTCTATTCATTACTGATTATTATTATTTGTACGTTATAGTACAATACTTATGGTTACATCATTTATTTCAACATTGAATATAAATACTGGTGTAGCACAACTTAGCGCCTGGCTTACTGGTCAAGCTATTCATGTACCTCCCGGTTGGATTGATGCTTGTGTAGCTTGGCTTGCTGAAGAGCATGGAGGCATTGATGCATGTAATCATCTTACAAAGTCTGATTGGTGTCAATTAATCTATGAGCAATGGCTTCATTCTGATTTGAAGCAGTTAGCATGTCCAGTTCTACCGTCAACTATATCTACTTCAAGAAATCCCCATGACAATTCGCTTAGCAGTGATACTGATGCAAATACCATGAATTCACCTGCACTTAAGCTGGATGGCGAACTTTGTCTTCAAGTAAGCTTTGTGATACAATTCATTATTGAATTTGTACGTTTAATTTTGTAAACGTGTATTATTCTAAATCAATCAACATTGTGGATACATTTAAAGCATCAAGTAATACAGGCCTATTAGTTGGTAAAGTTATCAGTCCAGTATGATCTACTGTGGCGGGACACATACTGAAAATGTTTAGTCGTATCGGTTTAATTTTTTGACAATAGTAATAATAGTGTTTATGAACATTAGGTTCAACATTATTTCAATCGACTACCTATTTAGTGTATGTGATGCACAATGGCTTAGTGATTAAACTATCCTACTTTTAGCTAGTAAGTAGTAAGTTTGAAATTCTTTTCTGTATACTTCAGTCTGGGTAGCCGAATAGTATTGCTATCTTTCATACACAGTTAGGCAGGGTTGCCCAATCTCACCATTCCTCTTCAACTTTGCCATCGATGACATTCTGGAAACAGCTCTGACGGATGTAAGTAATGGTGATGTGGATCTGTTGCCTGGAGAAAGACTTCTCGACCTTGAGTATGCGGATGATATTGTCTTACTGTGCGAGAATGCCCAAGCCATGCAATCCGCACTTAATCAGTTGGCAATCAGTGTCCGTAGGTATGGTATGTGCTTTGCACCTTCGAAGTGCAAAGTACTTCTACAAGACTGGCAGGATTCTAATCTTGTACTCACTCTGGTGAGCAGATAGAAGTAGTCGAGAAGTTCGTGTGTCTAGGTAGCTGCATAAGTGCTGGTGGTGTGAGTGAGTGATGAGATCAATGCACGTATAGTGAAAGCCAGAGCGGCTTATGCCAATCTGGGCCATCTTTGGCGCCTTCGTGATGTTAGTCTGGCTGTAAAAGGTCGGATCTACAACGCGACGGTGAGAGCAGTTTTGCTCTATGCTTGTGAAACCTGGCCTCTCCGAGTTGAGGATGTTAGACGACTCTCTGTGTTCGATCATCGTTGCCTCCGAAGGATTGCTGGCATCCAGTGGCAACACCATGTCAGTAATGCAGAGGTTCGGCATCGAGTGTTCGGTCACAGAGACGATAATGAAATTGGTGTCACCATCTTGAAACACCGACTTCGGTGGCTTGGACATGTTCTACGAATGTCGTCCCAGAGAATTCCTCGTCGTGCATTATTTGCCGACTCTGGGACTGGTTGGAAAAAGCGGAGAGGTGGTCAGTATATGACATGGTGTCGTGGTATGAAAGAAAGCTGCAAAGGGCTAGCTTATGTTGGTCCTTCACGACTCCCTGGTTGGGGTCCGAGAGATGGTGTAACACAGTGGCTAGAGACGTTATCAGATATGGCTCAGAATAGAAGCCAGTGGCGATCCTGCTGTAACCTTCTTTTACTTTCTTCATAAAAAGGTGGTCGTATTCTTCCTTAACTGAAAGATCTGTTCTGATTGTACCTTTCCGTTTCCCCCACCATTGTTCTTTCTCTCTCTCTTCTTTTTTTTATAATTCCCCACGTTCATTACTTTTTTTTTCTTCTCTTTTCTCCTTCTCTTCTAATTATCACTGTTTTGTGTGGCGCATATATATTTGGTGCCCCCCTGTACCAATATTTATGTGTTCAAATAAATAAATAAATAAATCTTTCATACACAGAAAGTTCAATTAAAAGTCCCGAGTATTATTATTGTTATTATTATTTGAACACATAGATATTGGTACAAGGAGGCACCAAATACATATGCGCTACACAAATCTCATTTGGTTTGTGTGAGGGCTGTGATACTGCCCGGGTGCCCAAACCGAAGCAGGTGGTTTTCTTAGGGGGCCACACCCCGAGCCTTCGACCTGAACGTCTGACCCACAAGGCAGTGGAGCATCGTGAGGAGATGCAGTCCCATGGTAGCCGGTGACCAACGATTGGTTCATACGCCATTTGTTCCCTCAGGATACTGGGGATCCGGTTAAAGCGCCGGACATTCGCTTTTCGTCCTCTCAATTTCGTAAACAACACCCCCGCCACGAGGTAATGAGTAGGACTTTGCCTGCAGAGGCTATATACGCGTGGCCATTTGAGAGCATTTCGAGAGGGTGAGCGGACTCTCCCCACTCTCGGCCGTACCTGGACACTTGGGAGCAAAAAATGTCCCGAGTACATGAAATTGTACTTGATCAATTAGTTATACTAATTAACTGATTATCTTTTTTTTAAATATTATGGTCGCTTATATAAGACCTATTTATTCTGATTCTTGATAATCGCTAATATGTGGTTAACAAACTTTCTGAAACTGTATAAGTGATATGGTGTGCTAAAAATTAAGCTTAATAGTTAAGCATTAACTCTATTGAAGAGTGACTTGTGGTTCCTATGTTCTTAGATTGTCCATTTATCAAGTGACTTCTAATCATGTTTATACTTATGTTCAATATCTTGAATATAAGTGCATTATTTCATTGGGAAAATAAACCTGTTCTACTGAACAACTGTCTTGTCTTCAGATATCAGTATGATTGATGATTTACATCAATAGTTCAGTTTCCTAAGTAGCCATCACTGGACTACGTATTATCGTATCATTGCATATCATCTATCAATCGACATTCTATCCACTCACTTTAATAACAAATTTCGTTCATAAAATCCCACACTATTACGGTACGATTTATATATTCGATATGTCTAAAACTGTGCTATATTTGTGACTGTTAACATTTCCTCATTGAAACAAAAAGTCTAAAAATGATATAATTGATAATTCATTGATTTAACTGTTTAATGTAGGTTGTCAATTTATTCAACATAGGTGAATCATACTATGGTCAACTGAGACGACATGAGGGTAATTTGAGCGTGAATCTACCTTCATTAGAAGTAGACGGTGAAAATAATCCAGATGGACATACTACACAAATGACACAAGCTTTTAGTCAATATATTAATCAAAGTCGTAAGTAGTTTGTGTTATATATTTTCTACATTGTTCTTAAATAAATGGCAAAATCTACCTCAATAGTCAAGTGCAAATGCTTGATTATAATCTATTAATGTGATGATCTTAAGATAGATATATTACTCAGTTGCTCTCAATGAATCAATAGAAGTGTGTTTAATCGTGTTACTTAATGATTGGTAATCCAGTTAATTGTCTTTCCGCTCAAACTCAGGATTTAGGTGTGCAAGCATGTATCAAACATTGGAGCATATTAAATTTTTTGTGTGGATAAAGCGAGTAAACATACTCCTCAACTGCTCGAAATAAGCGGACGGTACTGAAACGCTTTACATCGCTTACATACTAATGTGCACATATATCCAGTACATCATTATTCTCTACCTTTAAACATATTCTTTTCGTGTTCTCTTCTCATATTACTGTTGAAGCAACTCAAACAAACAATTTTAGACAGTCAACGATAGCCAATTGTCTCACTCTATTTCTTACTGATGGAGTAAATGAAATTAAAGTTATTGAATTTGGCACCCAATCCACAAGATCACGATCTTCTTTACCTTTTAAAGAATTATCAAAAAAACTTCGACCTGGAGTAAAAATTCGTCTACGTGGACCATTACTTTTACGCAATAACGTTTTACTTGTTCCTCCCGGTGCTTTACATTCACTATCAAGCCATCAGTTGGAAGTTTTAGGCGGTGAGGTAACTAATATATATGTGTATAGATTTGGTTTTTTACAGGGATGTCACCTTGTGAACTCCATTTTTACTTGAGATAATTCAGTTTATATGATGACGATAGGACCTGTATTCCCTAGAGACATGTTAATAATCTTGTAAGCTTTAAACGTCTCCACTGCAAGTAGAGCAAGGTCACAAAATCTCAATAGATACCTGCAAAAGTCCCAGTAATATTCTTTTCTTATTGGAAAATGCATTTATGTGAGGTCCTCCTCCTCTCGAACTCCATTTTCAGCTATGGTTTTACATGAAAGTCAGCTGTTATTACTTCAACAGCTGATTTTTTAAGTTTCACAACTCTCAATGGTCAATGTTATGTTGATTCTCTTATTAGTGTAAACATAAATTTTTCGAGTTTTAGGTTCATGATACATGCAATACATTTAAAGTGTTGTATACTTTGTCGGTCAAATAAGCTGATAAAAGCGAGTCGTTTTAATAATTTTTTCATCAATAAAAAGCAAAATTACAAAACCGTATTTGGCAAACAAATATCGTGTTACGAACAACTTAATTATCACTCCTATTCAACTTGTAAAGTGCGATGACTAAAGTCAAACGGTAGATTTGTGCCTCGGTTGGATTCGAACTATATCCGCCTACAGTCAGTCGGCTGGTCATTATATATATATATATATATATATATATATCCTGACATAAATGTATTTCGGCTTAAGCTTGCACATCATATCAATACCACACATCAAGGGAGTCGAAATGAAAGAATAAAGCTTAACGTGGAGAATATGATTCGGTAAGACAGAGTTAAATAAGAGAGAATAGAAATTATGAAATGGTATTGAAACTCAAGGTTGGTAAGAAGACAAAAAGATTCATTTGGTCACCGTAACCGATTCTATGTGATGTCTGTTTATTAAGTAATATATTGTCTTTTGATACAAATAAAATCCCAAAACAACAACTAATTGCAATCATGATCTTCAGCACTTGAAAATCATAAACCCTTGCTAATACTTTTCCACTCGTTGAACAAGTTAGTGGTTATGTATCGTTACCAGTCCTTCAGGTTGTACATATTACAACGGAAAATTATCATTTGCAGTTCCAAATATCAATAGGAAATTATAATCCCCCTACTAAAACCTAAAAAAAATCTACAAAATTTTTACTGAACTCAATTTATTCTGAATCACTCATTGTCCCTGCCGTATTCATATAAAAAGTCTACTTCTACTTTGACTAAATTGAACAATATTGATGAAATTAAAACAGTGATAAGAGTGGCTTATAATCTAGTATTAAAGTCCGATCGATTAAAATATAATTTACCGAATATTTAATAGTTCATTTTTGATAAAGTTCAATTCTTCTTTTTTTATGGATATCCTTCCTAATATAATCAGAAATGTGCAGATTTTAGTTTGCTCATACTCACCGACCAACTCTTTTATTTAAGATAAATAATTTATGCGATGTTTATCAAAAAACTTTTTCGAATGAGTTCATAGTTTGTTTGCTGTTATAAATAATCGGTCAGTCAATAATATGCAATGTAAAGCCTACGATGTATGTATTTTAGTTCAAGTTACTAAGCCGCATTATCTCAGTGATATAAAACTATTCCTCGACAAATCTCCGAGTAGTAGAAAACATTAAGTATAGGAAAAGAAAAAAGGTGTAAGAACATTTCGGAACTCGGATTTTAAGTGAAGACAAAAACGGAATACATCTGTGCTATTCCTAATGATCCTGAGTCATACAAAATTTCGTAAGCGTTGGTTACGACAATTCTGAGGACTCCAATCAGGTAATCTGCATCCACCTACATGGCTGAATCAATTATGCGAAAAATTTACAGATAAGATGCGAAATAATTACTCAAATCACCCAAAAGAATGTATCTTATGAATCATTGAAAATCAGTAAGTAATTGATAACTGTTTAGCTCTTCATTTACTTTGTAATCTTTTTTGGATAATTCGATTCTTGATATTTTTGACCTATCGAAATTGAGTCGAAAATACCAATAATTAGGAGAATCTGAAACCATTGCAAATTGTATCAAAATTCATACCTATTGTACAAGTGACTGGTTATTTGAACTCAGTAGTCCACCAATTATTACGTGACAAGATCGTCAATCAGAACACTGACTTATACGACCTCGGCCCTGTGCCGAACCAATGATGCGTTAACCAACACGAGCAGCCTAGAATATACTCTGAGTCCTTATTAGTTCTTCTCACTTAACCCTGCCTGTTGAATCCAAAACACAATCTCAGCTTCCGTTGTATAAATCACATGTTTCAGACATATGTAGTTTATGTACAAGCAAATCAGACCTCATGGTACCATAAAATAGAAAATAAAAATTATAAGAGATCTGACCGAAAGCGTTTGTGGGTATGTGAAACTGTAACTAATAGATTGGAAATAACTTAAGAATAGTAAATCGTATAATAGTAGTCAATATGTCAAATGAAAGTTTATAATAAGAGAAATACAAATATATGTAATCTAGTTACTTGGTAGTTATACAATAAGAATTTCTGTATAATAACAGTCCATAAATAATTTCCAGCAGTTACCATTCATTTATTCTTCGTTCGGATATAACAGGTACATATCACTGATGGGTCCCAAATAGGACGAAACATTTATCCTGAATTCCTCTGCTAGTCACATTCCATCTGTTTCATAAAACTTCTCCTTAGTGCTCACCCTTAACACTGAACAAGTCAGTCATAGGCAATGTCGGACCTGGCATATATATGCATCGATTGAAGCTACCACATCATATCAACACAGTGAAATGAAATTATTAAGATGAATGCCACATTAATAGGAGTAATAACAGTAGTAAAAAAGATTAAGCATAAATATTATGACCCAAGAACGTATTCGCGAAATATAAAGTGTCCGATAATTCTACGACTCATGATGTAAGGGAAGACAAAAATTAGATCCGTCTGCACCATTAAGACCGATTTTAAAAAAATATCCAAAATTTGCAACCGTTGGTTATGATAATCGTATAGACTTTAATCAATTGATGTGCGTCTACTAGCGCAGCCCTCTTCAGCAACTAACAGCGTCGTTTCTTGCAACGTGCTCAGTTGTGGTTGACTAATTCATCCACATTTATTACGCTAGTTCACAATTTATCACAAGCGTTGTAGGATACCATTAGTGTATGTCATTGCTTTACTTCCAACTTGACTGACCATGTACACATCCGTACCTCCTCCAAAAAATCCCAAACTAGGATAAAACAGAATATACTCTCTGATTGTAGTATGATTTCTCAACTGATATAATTTTTAAACATAATTCTACACTTAATTTGAATAAAACTTGTAAAATCCTTAGACTAAAGAAAAAGTATAAATATATATTCAGACAATGATTCATTTATAAAGTCCATGCAAATTAAGCTGTACAATTTATAGTTAGCCATGGAATAAAATTAAACATTCAATCTATATTTCGTTAACAAGTTCTTTTATAGAAAAACGTACATACAACTAATAATAACTAAAAAAAAAAAGGGTGGATTTCCTATTTTATTTCTAATTCAAAGAAAAAAATAGAAAGTTTACAGAAAATTTTGAATTTTTTCCGAAGAGAACGTATTACCAAATATAGTGTACTGTTATACAGAGTTGATTACCACAATGTATAAGCTGTTCAGTATTAACCTGTTTCGAATTTAGGATTGATCAATATTATCTTGATTGATTTCAAGACAAAATACTCATCAGTTTATTGTGTTCATATTACCATTCTATACATTGGTTTAGACATAGAACCACTCTTAGACTTCCAGCTAACTCTTATACTAACTAACCTATTGAGATTTGTGAATAACTCGAGATATGTGTAACACATGTTATAATCATTTTAATGGATGAAGGTTTATACCTTCATCAACCAATTTTCTACTGTTATCCTAAACTCTACTATTAATCTTATCCATTCGATTATTTCCTCGTACATGACCATTACTTTAAATACAGTTGCACAGACCATATTTCACTGTCGGGAATTATTACGAATTCAACTGTTTCACTGCATACTTTCCCACTGACAAACAAATAAAACATCTCATCTACACCACGCGTAGTATAAGTTGACCAATATTGGATAATCATTTTTTATCCATGCTTAGATTTGGTTGTTCACCGAGTCTCTATAACTGATAAGACTTAAAATGAAGGAAGCAATCAAGAATCCTAATTAGTTCTCTTTCTATGGTGAGGGAAAACATAAATTGTGACTTATCCTATATCGGCATTTCCATGCATTGAAATTTTGTCAGAAATTAAGTAAAGATAACTGATGTGGAAGAGTCCCAACAGACACTGTGTAATGTAGCTGATTCAGCTAACAGTTCACTGTAATCTCTGACTCTATCAGTAGTTTTCGGGACAATATTCGTCTAAACAATTCCTCTGTGATTGCCTTAAGATAATCTCTGTCTTGTTTTGTAAACTGAAAAGTTCAATGGTCATGATACCATTTAAACGAAATTGTCTCCAATTCCCAAAATCTAACTAATATTTCAACCAATCCGACTACCCAATTTTTTCTCAACATATTTTTATGATACTTTTTAAGTACTTGGTTCAGTACATCTATTTAATTGATTTTGAATTCGTTTTTACTTATGTATTTGTATTGTATATTGATATTTTTATTACTATAAACCAGTTTTACAATTTTTCTTCATTTTCTAATCGACAGTACCAATGGCATTGTGTTCATCTACGTATTGTTTTATTTTAACAATAAAATACTAGGTAAAATGGTACATTAGGAAGCGCATTAAACTAATCTTTCAAGGCTATGGCTATAAATTTATTTTTAGCCAAAAAAAGAAAATAAAACGTGGTCATATACTGATTATGCTAAGTAACTTGTAGTTAAGATGTCTAGAAACAACATATATTCTTTGCTTGTGAATAATATACACTATCATTAACCACTTGATAGTAAACAGT